GATTTTTAAAAATTCAAAACATACTTTTTGTAATCAAAATTTATTGGTGTGTATGTGTATAAAAGTGTGTTTGTGTGTGTGTGTGTCTGTTTTGCACTCTAGATGTTGTAGAGTGTCGCCCCTTTCCTGCGGTGTACTTTTTTTTTTAGAATTGTGGCCGATTTGTAGATTGCACGTACAAAAATTCAGAGAATTCTTTTTTTGTGTGTGAATTTCCCATTCATTTCCTATGGGTCGGTCATTTCTGACCGAAGACAACAAGTGTGTTTTTTTTTTTTGTTTGTTTTTTTTACGACCACTTAGCATGCTCGGATCATGACCTCAATTTTTTTTTGTATTAACATACATAATGCCATAAAAGTCACCAAGGTTCGTAACATTCCGATGAATCTGTGATTTTTAGAAATTCAAAACAGAAAATTTTTCGGTCAGAAATGAGCAAAGAGCACCTGAGGGTTAAAAGAGCTTTTCATCCCACAGCCGAATAACACTGGAATTATTGAATATTACAACACTCAATTTACAACATGATAGCATTTTAGGTAAAACTTTACAATAAGGTTCATTCGTTAAATACCCTATAGTTAACATGAACTAACAATGAACAAAACTTCAAAAGTATTGATTCATTTTAGTAAATATTAATTTCAACAATTACTAATACATTATTAAAATCAAAGGTTGTATTAGTTAACATTAGTTAATGCACTGTGACCAGTGTTCGGTGTAACTAATTACTAAGTAATTAGTTACTGTAATTTAATTACTTTTCCCTTGAAAATGTAAAGTAAGGGATTACTCTTCATTTATCTGTAATTTAATTACAGTTACTTCTGATGTAATTGAGGTAAATACTGTGTATAGATCAATCCGATCTCACAGCGATTCGTATGCATTTTATGAGGCGTCTAAATCGTACGACCGCACTCGTATAAACTTGTATGAATTATTGTAAAATATGTATGAAAAAAGTGTGAAATGTCATGAGATCAGACATAAAACATCAAAATATATTGTCTGATGTTAAAAAGTATGTTTTTATAATGTAACCTTCTCCACCTTGGTCTGTTTAAGGATAATTAATGCAATTTTATAGTATTTATTTAAAAGAATTTAAACAGATTCATGTCTATCCTTGTATTATTCAGCTGGTTGAGATTGATATAAGATTTTGAAAGTAATTAGTAATTAAAAGTAATTAAATACTTTTTAGAGAGAGTAATTAGTAATCTAATTACACTGTTGAAGAGGTAATTAGTAACTAGTAATTAATTACTTTTTTAGAGTAACTTACCCAACACTGACTGTGACGAACAATCCCTGAACAGCTGTATTTTAACATTATATTAACAAAGATTAATAAATACCGCAACAAATGTATTGATCACTGTCAGTTCATCTGGGGTTAAGACATGAATGTTAACTACTGAACCTTATTGTAAAGTTAACTTACACGACTAAACACCATATATTTATGCTCAAAAAATTGTTTCTAAAACATCAGTTACAGATTCTGATTTACATTCAAAAATGATTTGTGCGAAAGATAGTGAACATTATAAATATTTGAATGAATCTGAAACGATCCGAATATTTGTTTAATGACTTGATGAAAGCTAGTATGAAGAGTAGTGTTTATTTATGATTAATCTTTCATGATTCACTGTGAGAAGCCGCTGTGTTCTGCGACAGGAAATGATTGTGTGTCGTTTCTGATTGAACGTGTCATTTCCTGTAACGACAGGAAGCCATTAGCCGAGAGTGATGAGTGTTATGAGATCAAGCAAAAGCTCAGCGTTGATTTCATTCATCACCGGCGATCGCTCGAGACGTGTGTGTGTGTGTGTGTGTGTGTGTCAGACATCAGACCATCGACACATCATTAATATTCTCAAGAATGAAGAACTATCACTGTTGTACATCACCAGTCCAACGTTTGGGGTCAGTAAGATTTTAATGTTTTTACAAAAAGTCTCTTCTGCTCACCAGGGGTTCATTCGTTTGATTAAAAATACAACAAATAGAGTAATAATGTGAACTATTATTATAATGTAAATCATCTGTTCTCTATGTGAATATGTCACGTATATCATGTGACACTGAAGACTGGAGGAATGATGATAAATAAAGTGTATAAATTACACTTTACTGTATATTCACATAGAGAACAGATGATTTACTGTAATATTACTGTATTTTTGATCAAATAAACACAGCCTTTGTGAGCAGAAGAGACTTTTAAACATTACAAATCTTACCGATCCCATTCTAGCCTTTTGACTGGTAGCGTAGATCGTGATGAACTGGGTCACTCTCAGGAGAACACACTCACACGATGGCCGATACACTCCACTGACCCTGAAGATGAACTTCTGTCTGTACAGGAACATAAAACCGTCGCTCTTCAGTCTTTTGTGGGAAGAAACAAAAGCGTCTGAATGATCTATAGATCAGCTGTGGGCGTGTGGTTTTCCAGTGTCGGGATGTTTTATAGCTGGAAAAAAGAACAACGGACAATCAGATAAAGCGTAATTCATAAGTTCATAATTAAATGATTGTGATGAGATCGTTAAACGACAACCAGATCATGTGCTCACTGAGAACTTCTGTTCAGATGAAGAACTAGACGATCCAGTTATTAATCATCACAGCAAACGAGATAAAGTGAGATTAAAGAATTGATCGGAGACATTATTCATTCATATGGGAGACAGTCGCTACAATGTGACATCGCAAATCACTCGATTATAAACACTGCCATTAATAAATGAGCAGGAGTGCTAAAGCGTATGAAGTGATTTGTTCATTCGTTCCTCCTGAGATCTGCTCGGGTCGGTCAGGATGTGGCAGCGGCGTTAATGAGCACGGGGAATCACGAGTTCAACACTCATTTCGTGCTTTCTAACTTTGCATCTTTTCTTCAACAGATACAAGTGGCATTGAAAAATAAGAGCATTTCATAAAGACATTAAATGCACATCATAGAGACTCAACATCATACTAGATCATACTAGATACACAACCAAAAATCCCTATATATATATATATGTGTGTGTGTGTGTTGTGTGTATATATACAGAAACTGTCAAACACTGTTATAAACATGCTAAAACTGTTATAAACCAGCAGAAACTGTCATAAACCTGCAGAAACTGCCATAATCCTGCAGAAACTCTTATAAACCAGCAGAAACTCTTATAAACCAGCAGAAACTGTCATAAACCTGCAGAAACTGCCATAATCCTGCAGAAACTCTTATAAACCAGCAGAAACTCTTATAAACCAGCAGAAACTCTTATAAACCTGCAGAAACTCTTATAAACCTGCAGAAACTGTCATAAACCTGCAGAAACTCTTATAAACCAGCAAAAAAACTCTTATAAACCAGCAGAAACAGTCATAAACCAGCAGAAACTCTTATAAACCTGCAGAAACTTTCATAAACCTGCAGAAACTCTTATAAACCTGCTAAAAACTCTTATAAACCTGCAGAAACTGTCATAAACCAGCAGAAACTCTTATAAACCTGCAAAAAAACTCTTATAAACCAGCAGAAACTGTCATAAACCTGCAGAAACTGTCATAAACCAGCAGAAACTCTTATAAACCTGCAAAAAACTCTTATAAACCTGCAGAAACTGTCATAAACCTGCAGAAACTGTCATAAACCAGCAGAAACTCTTATAAACCTGCAGAAACTCTTATAAACCTGCAGAAACTGTCATAAACCAGCAGAAACTCTTATAAACCTGCAAAAAACTCTTATAAACCAGCAGAAACTGTCATAAACCAGCAGAAACTCTTATAAACCTGCAAAAAACTCTTATAAACCAGCAGAAACTGTCATAAACCAGCAGAAACTCTTATAAACCTGCAAAAAACTCTTATAAACCAGCAGAAACTGTCATAAACCTGCAGAAACTGTCATAAACCAGCAGAAACTCTTATAAACCTGCAGAAACTCTTATAAACCTGCAGAAACTGTCATAAAAACACTGTGGTAACTGTCATAAACCAGCAGAAACTCTTATAAACCTGCAGAAACTCTTATAAACCAGCAGAAACTGTCATAAACCAGCAGAAACTGTCATAAACCAGCAGAAACTCTTATAAACCTGCAAAAAACTCTTATAAACCAGCAGAAACTGTCATAAACCTGCAGAAACTGTCATAAACCAGCAGAAACTCTTATAAACCTGCAAAAAACTCTTATAAACCAGCAGAAACTGTCATAAACCAGCAGAAACTGTCATAAACCAGCAGAAACTCTTATAAACCTGCAAAAAACTCTTATAAACCAGCAGAAACTGTCATAAACCTGCAGAAACTGTCATAAACCAGCAGAAACTCTTATAAACCTGCAGAAACTCTTATAAACCAGCAGAAACTGTCATAAACCAGCAGAAACTCTTATAAACCTGCAAAAAACTCTTATAAACCAGCAGAAACTGTCATAAACCTGCAGAAACTGTCATAAACCAGCAGAAACTCTTATAAACCTGCAGAAACTCTTATAAACCTGCAGAAACTGTCATAAAAACACTGTGGTAACTGTCATAAACCAGCAGAAACTGTCATAAACCAGCAGAAACTCTTATAAACCTGCAAAAAACTCTTATAAACCAGCAGAAACTGTCATAAACCTGCAGAAACTCTTATAAACCTGCAGAAACTCTTATAAACCTGCAGAAACTGTCATAAAAACACTGTGGTAACTGTCATAAACCAGCAGAAACTCTTATAAACCTGCAGAAACTCTTATAAACCAGCAGAAACTCTTATAAACCTGCAGAAACTCTTATAAACCTGCAGAAACTGTCATAAAAACACTGTGGTAACTGTCATAAACCAGCAGAAACTCTTATAAACCTGCAGAAACTCTTATAAACCAGCAGAAACTGTCATAAAAACACTGTGGTAACTGTTAAATATTTTAAAGCATCATCAGCTGTATGTTGTAAAGTAAAATGTAAATGTCTGAAGTAAAACATAAGAGCATATTTGTGAATATAATCATTTATTTCTCTAGAATGATGCAAGAAATGTACACATCTTTATCTCAAGGTATAAAATTTTTCTTAAATAAGCAGTTTTTCATTCATACGTTTGTAAGTGTATTAATTATTTGTTACAAACCCTGAAGAGAGCACATCCCGTACGACCAACGACAACAAAAGTAAAAATAATTTGCAATACAAATCCAGCGACGGTCACCTGAATTGACATGAGGAATTATTGCTCTGCATTTGTCCATTAAAAAAAGCTGTATTTTATTTCTGTCTGACACATTGTTCTCAATTATATATAGATATGTACATCAAAATATATGCTCTAGTTGAAAAAGACCTTGGTTGAAGCTATCTGTAATGGATTATGAAAGTGTGCTTGGTGCAGCCGCTGTTGACGCAGACTGATGACATCATTTCCAGGACGTCCACCTGACTCCAGTGCACAAAGAAATCTGGAAAAGAAACGATAAAATTCACCATCAATAAATGTGCAAACTAAGTTAATAGATGCTCTATGATTTTATGAACAAAATTAGCCATTTTTCATGACCAGTAGGTGGCGCTGCTGCCAAATTTGGCATGTACTCTTCGATCATGGTGCTGATGAAGTGCACCAAGTGTAGTTTCCATAGATTAAAGTATTGTGAAATATAGGTCAACATTGGTAACTTCCCATCATCATAACTTTTGAACACAAAGGAATAGCGAAATTCTGTCCACTGATCAGTCAATTTAGGTAAGAATCTGAAAAAATGAATACAGTATATTTCAAAATGGGGAGTACGGCGTCTTAATGTACGAGATTGAATGTGATCAGCATGATGAGAATGCTGTACTAAGACTTCAAAAGTTATAACCAAAAGAAAATTGATGTTTTAAACTGGTGGTGGCGCTATAGAGTTGGTCCTAGAGACCCCAAAATGGGTCCGAATCCAGGACTAAGTGTATAAATTCAGCATCAATGAAAGTGCAATTCATGTAAACTAAGTTTTTAGACGCTCTCTGATTGAGTGATTGATTGATGAACAAAAATTTACATTTTTCATGACCAATAGGTGGCGCTGTTCTGAAATTTGGTATGTACCTTCAGATCATGGTGTTGATGAAGTGCACCAAATTTTGTTTCGATAGATTAAAGTATTACCAAAATATAGCACTTAATGTAACATTGTTAAATTCACATCATCATAACTTTTGAACACAAAAGAATAGTGAAATTCGGTTCAGACTTTTGCCCAGTGATCATCTGAGCCAACTTGGATAAGAACATGACCAAATTTGAAGGAGAAGTAGTGGGAAAAAGGACTAAAGTACACTTCAAAGAAATCTGGAAAACAAGTGTTAATTCAGCATCAGTGAAAGTGCAACTTAACAGATGCCCTCTGATTTTAAGTTCTGAACCAAAATTTGCATTTTTCATGACCAGTAGGTGGCGCTGTTCCCAAATTTGGCATGTAGCCTCAGAGCATGGTGTTGATGAAGTGCACCAATTTTCATTTCAATAGATTAAGGTATTGCCAAAGTATGGTAGCTAATATAATTTGGGGTCGACATCGGTAAATTCACATCATCATCATTTTTGAACAATTTTTGAACAACAACATTTTGAAGAATTTCGAAAACTCTGTTTGGCCCATGTTTATTTCGTCGCAAAAGTGTGATTATATTATCGACCAGCTCTTTATTTAAAGTTATATAGTCTAGAGCACGTCCAACTTCATCTACAAACAGAATGGTCTCTTAAAGTGATTAATACTAAAGATCTATAAATCTTAACTATGATTGTTTGTATCGTCTCAAAATGAAACTTGATTATCATCCAACTGCAATCTGATAAATGTGAATATCAGGCATGAAGATATTATAAACCATAACATCATGATTTTCTGTAAAGCTGCTTTGAACACACACACACACACACACACTCGCATTTATAGTAACACTTCTCAAATCGTGTGTTGTATTGTTTAACACAGTGAAATAAATAGACCCAGCAATGTAAACATGATTTCTACTTTATGGCTTTAATTCATTTTGCACAGCAATCTGCCATATTCAATTATAAATAAATGATATTAAACACTTTTATCTCTGTTTGAATGTTTTTCGCAGTAATTTCGTCTGATACAGGGAACATATTTACAAGCACAATTACAGCTAATCACCATAAATGTGTTTTTAATCACATCAGAAAACACAAATCATGCACACGCAGAGAAAACATGACGCGTAAATGTACAGAAATATCAACGCTTTTAAGTTTTAATGCGGGTCCATCATCACCGAGGCGTGCTCCAGCAGTCCACGAGCGCGCGGGTAATTTGCATCTTCATTAGCAGAAGCTTTTCACTTACGCCGAGATTTCAGGATAAAGGGGGTAATTAACACAAACTGCCCTACAATTTAAGAGTTTGTGTGAAGCAGTAATTACACACTCTCGGCACAACAAACAGAGCGTTGGGGGCTGGAGCTCGTCTAAGATCGTAGTTTGGTCACTAGTCGGCTTAGCTCGCACGCTTTATGCTTTCAGTCCCGTTATTACCCGAGTCCTGAGGAGATGTGTTCGAGATGTGTGTGATAGGTTTGATCGGGCCCTTCGCGTGTGTTGTGTTGTGTTGTGTTGTGTATGGTAGGAGACACAGGCTCCCGTTATAAAGCAGAATCGCTACTACATCTGTTTGTTTCATTGTCCACAAAACTGATTCATAAGCACCTCCAGTGACGTGGCAATACACCTGCATGTATTCTTGGTGGATTAGAGGTAATATACATACAGGAGTTTATCTTTGTATTTTCTTTAAGAATAGAGTTGTAGTTTAGGGAAGAGTGTTTGAATGATGGATGTTTTGGTGGGTTGTGTTGCAGTAGTTCTCTCATCTCATCAAGACAAATTTCTGCTATGGGAGAGACAATATAAAGTACCTTGACCTTGAAAAGTGATCTCGATCGCCCCTGGTGGCCGGCTGTAGTATCAATCATAAACCCCGCCCTCTTCATGTAATGCAATGGGACGCGAGCCAATTACATTTCCTGAAGATGGTTTCTGTCACTCATCACGCTAACGTAAGTTCAAGTGTTCGTCTGTCCAATAAGTTTGGTTTTAGTTAGTTATTTGATGCTATGAAACTGGGGTGTGGTGTAATGATTGACAGATGACGAGCACACGAACGGGTGTGGGCGGGACCTCGGGCTCCAAATGATGTCATCGCAAATACCGTTTCTGGGATATTTTGGCTTCATTTTTCTACAGTGGAAGGAAGTGGTAGAAGGCAGAATGTGTCAATACAGACTATCAACACATTTTTTGAAACACACTTGCTAAATAGTAATAATAGTAATTTAAAGTCCCTCTGTAGTCAAAAATTTAAAGGTGTTTTCCTTAAAAAAAAAAAAAAAATTATGCCTTAAAATATTTTGACACCCGTGCCTCATTTAGTATTTGCGGTTCTATGAATATGCAAATGAGCCCCGCCTCCACTCACTCCCTTACTCAGCTCACCACTGGTTGACGATCACACGTTGATCTGATTGGTTAAGAGGTGGTTTGTGCGCCTGCGATTTCAAAGCGTGTTTTTGAGACGCGTTTTCAGTTTTAAGGAGGAAATACTCAATGCTGTCCACTTATCAACTTACACACGGTGTGTGTTAAAGCGGATTAAACACACCACACACACACATAAACAACATTAAACACAGGCGATGCATTATGGGAAATGAAGTATTTTTCCAGTGAATGTAATCAATATGGTGATACACATAAACTGAACGCAAATCTCTCTAAGTGGCATTTCAAACATAATAAAAAACAACGTTCAAACAAGCCTTTAAAGCTGATCTTGATAAACTCCTGATATATACAATAATGTCCTATTGTTACTTTATTAACTAACAATAACCAATACATGTGCTACAGTATTTATTAATCTCTCTCAACATTAGCAGGTCTGTTAAATAATATTAACAGATACTATAACTTCTGATAAAACAATGCATTGGTTAGTGTTGGATTAACATTAGGATGAACGAACGCTGCGTTGGTTTCGTTCACGCCGACAGACGAGACGCTACCGTAACGAGTTTGAGGGATTTCTCCTGTGAGTGACTCTGAATCCTCACACACGCGCGTCTAAACATGATGTCATTAGAAGTCAGCGACGCTATGCCTGCAATTAACTGATAAAACATTAATATCAGAGCAATTATGTGAAAGAATGATTGTGTTGGATTGTACGGTGTGAATGATGAAGAGACGAGCCACTCGCGCGCACACACAACACAATAAATCACAACGCCACGGTCATTCTTGTATTGCTGAGACACTACATATATATATATATTTACTTTTCATATGACTTCAATTATTTATTTAGTTTCAAAGTGAGAAGGAGAAATAATAATGCCTTTTTAATAGGAAAAAAAACGTTATGCCTTCAAAATATAAATATGAATATTATCAGACATTACAGATATGAAAACCTTTTCACAAGATATCCTTTTCATATCTGTAATCCATAATCATCAACATTATAACAAATAAAGGCATGAAATATCTCACTTTGCATGTAATGAGTCTATATAACATAATAGTTTCACCTTTTAAGATGAATTACTGAAATAAATGAACTTTTGCTCCATATTCTCGTTTTTCCAGTTTCACCTGTATATTTCAAGTTAGTTTTTTTTTTATATAGTTTGTTAATTATACTAACTCAGTCAGTTAAAGGTGCTGCACTAGTAAATGAAAGGAGAAATTCATGAGAAAATGCTTCATTGGACAACACACACACACACACACAAAAGCAGGGAGTGTGTGCAAACTGTGTGTGTGTGTGTGTGTGTGTGCAAACGGGCCTGTTCCTCGATTAAATGAAAGGAAACATCTCTCGACAGACTCATTTATCATGTGACCCGCCTGTGGAATTCATGCAAATGCTACTGGTTTGCGTGCGCTGGCTAATTTGTATTTAAATGGTGTTTTGTGTCGTGAAGCTGAAGCTCTTCTGCATTCACATCAGAAACACCTCATAAACAAACCCCGTCCCACCAGTCCAACAACATCAACATCTGCTGTGCACACATTCATGACAATATACATGACATCATGAGCTCATTAACATATGACCAATGCAGCCAATCAGAGAAGAGGTCAGAGCCATACACAAGTGCATGAAAAATGTCATTGAAAATGAATGGGAAAGTTGAAAAGTTAGTTCAATAAAATCCATAAATCCCACATCACACACACACACACAGAGAGACTAAGTCTAGTTTTAGTGGCAATTTGTGTGGCATTTTTGCACATCAATGAAACATTTCTGCAAAAAAGGCTGTTCAAAAGACTTACAAACTTTGTCCAAACACTCATTTGAATGTATTTTATCATGTTTGCTGATATTTTTTGAGAATATATACATTAAAGTTCTGCAGAGAGCATTAGTCCCCGTCCAGAAGC